ATGGTGTTTGAGGGGTAGTCATAGTTTTCAGCCATTTTGTCAAATATGTATTTTCATAAATGCATACTCTGGAAACTGACATATAAACACACAGACAAAAAAGACATCATGTGAGGATTCAGGGGTAATGAAAGACTAGCAGTATATTTAAGCTGCATTGTAAGAACAAGGGGATTCCCATGTTTATCCAGCCCAATCCTGGTGCCTTTCTCAGTGACATTTTCACAGTTAGACTTGCTGTCTAACAAATCATCTAAACTCAAGATCTTTCATCAATAGACGCTTGCTTTCATGTTTTGGGGCTGACTAAGTGGTTGTTCCAGGTTGGACCCAGCAGATGGCCCTGCTTCAGGCGGCAGGTCTTTCGGGGCTTGGCTCTCCACTGGACTTGGACTTGGATCTGCAATATGTGTATTCTTTCACCCAGGCTGAAGAGGCACTAGCTGTCCCTGAAAGATTCTGCAGATGTGCAGGTCTGAAGCAGACACCACCAGGACCATTTTTTTTTGTTGTTGTTGTCTTTTGTTTTTCCTGTGTCCTGGAGATCAAACCCAGTATTTCATGCATTCTGGGAAAGCAGTCTAGCAACAGAGCTACATGCCCAGTCCCTTAGGTTGAGCATCTTAAAGCCAAGACTCCCAAATGGGATACTGTCACTTCTTCCCACATGATCTAGCCACGATGACTCAATGGGAGAATAGCTCTGCAAAATCACATGGCAAAGAGTGCCATGAGTGTGTTATGTCAGAAAGTTAGTCAGGCACATGTGTGTCTTCCCATGACACCGGAACTTACTAAATAACAAATCCACAAACTATGGCCAGTTTTATTGACTGCAATTTGCCAAGTAATCACAGTTTCACTTGATACTTGCCTGCTAGCAACAGGTTCTGTGATTCTGATGTTAATGATTAATATTAATTCTTCAGTCATACAGCACACTTCATGGACTGGCATAGGTGGGTGGGTACTTGCTGCTGAGTCTGGTGATCTGACTTCAATTTCTGGAACCCATGTGACAGAAGGAAGTTGCAAGTTGACCTCTGCAAGTTGACCTCTGACCTCCACATGTATGCTGTGGCATGTGTGTGCCGTTACTTGCATACACACATACATATACATAATAAATAAAAATTAATATATCATACTTCATAATACAGTGTGTATGTGTGTGTGAGAGAGGAAAGGGATTGCTAGGAAAGGGTTAAAGAGTTGTTGGAGTTCAGAGAGCTTTTCTGAAGCTGGAGGCAGACACAGGAGCAAAGTGAGTCTGCTAGGGACCAGATAAGAAGTAACAGCAAGCAAAGAGATGCTCGGGGACAGAGTTGTCAGGTCCAGGTCCAGGTGGCAGGCTGTTTTGTGGGTCATTGTGAAGTGGGCTGCATGTCATGTCTAGGAGAAACTGCCCTGGAACTGTGATCTGGGGACAAGAACGAGCCCTTTCCTGTGGCAGTTTCCCAGAACAAGGCTCATGACAAGAGAACAAGTGAGGAGTCAATCTTCCTGGCACATTTTGGTCTTGGAGTCTCCAAGACAGAGAAGCTGTCTGGGGTCTGGTGTCTCTGGTGTCTGTGGTCATACTTTCAGGTGTCAACCAGTGATACAAAATCTTTTTCAGTTTGTGTCTCCGACAGCACTGACACATGATTGGCTGCTTGCTTGTGTGAACAGCTATAGATAGAGTCCATTCTTCCTTGGCACTTTCATTCAACATGGAGTCACTCTGGTCAAGACCGTTGCTTTTTAAAGTAGAGTAATTTCAGTTGAGGCATAGCTAGAAAGCGGCTATTCTATTAACATAGGCTAACCCATGATCACACTAAAACTCATTGTATTATCCGCACATTAACCATTTCCCATACAATAAAGTGTGCTTATATTTGATTTGATTTTTAATTTATGCTTTGAAAATTCCATTTGTGCATGCAATGTTTCGTGATCATGCCCACACCTGCTCCTTTCTCCCAACTGCCCCTAGCTTCCCCATAACACATGTTCTTCCCATCTTCTTGTCCTTTTTAGGAGCTTTTGGGAGCTAATGTGAACTGTGAGAGGGAGAGTCACTTTTTTTTGGAGGGGTGGCCACTGGTAGGTTGCCCATGCCTTAGGAGATTACCCCACAACTATGTACGTATGGTAAGTACTAATTGGATTATGTATAAAATATGTTTTATAAAAAATGTTAATAGTAGTTAAGT